CCGTTCACTTCGTTTCGAAATCGACAACTTTAGTGATTTTACTGGAATAAAAATGTCTCAAAATACAGAAAGACACCAGAACCGCAGACTGGCCCACCTGGAGGAGGAGCTGGAAGAAACCAAATTCCAGCTGCAGAAACAAACGGAGCTCAAAGTGGGTTTTTTCAACAAGGCCCACAGAGCAACTGAGGAGCTGAAGAGACTCCAGAGATACACTGACACTGAAACACTGAAAGTTGTTGCTATTGCTTGTCAGGCTCACTTCAGTGTGGAAGACCTGGATAAAGAGGAGCTGCAACAAAAATACGAAGATTTAAAGGTGTCTCAGTTCCACATCCAGGACGCACTGCTGGCAGAAATGCATGATGAGAAGCAGCGAAATAAAGTCCTGGAAGACAAGCTGGATGACCTGAAGGCTTCGTATGAGGAGCTGCGCCGTAAATACGAAGCAGACGTTGGTGATGAGGCAAAGCTACATGAGGAACAGAGCCTGGAGAAGCTCAGAGTGGAGAAAGACAACATCATACATGACATGACCCAAAAGATCGACCTCCTGCAAGAAAATGAAAAACGTTTACAAGACGAACTTGAGGAGAGCAAACGTGGAACAAACGAACAATCAAAATTAATAACGAGTTAAAGCAGCAGGCGGAAATTTACCAAGACAAAATAAAGAAAGAGGAAGCTGCACTTTACAAAGAAAGAAAAGAAAATGTCATCCTTGGATTAAACTACACTGTATTGATTGAACAATTTGAAAAGCTGGAGACACAGAAAGAAACTCTGATGGAGAAATCAGAGGAGGACACGGCGCTGGTGGAGAAAATAAGAAAGGAGTACGCCATCCTCCAACGCAAAGCAAACCAGGACGCCAAATTCCTGAAGAAAAACGCAAAGATTTTAAAGAAAGAATTGGATGAGAGCAAAACATTTTATAACAAGCTCAAACTTAAATTTAACATGGATATTACTGGATTAAAGGAGGAGATGGAAAGATGTAAACAGAAAGTACAACAAGAGAAAGACGCCTCATTGCAATCAGCGACTGAGAAGCAGCAGCTCATCAACAGCCTGCGACAGGAAAACGCCGTCCTGGAGGAAAACACACGGCGAGAAATCCAGGTCCTCCAGGACAAGGACAGAAATGCACAGGATGAACTGGAGACGCTCAGAGTTTTGTTCAAGGAGCTGCAGTGTTCTTACATTCATGATGTTAATATGTTGAAGACACAGGCAGAGCAGTTCCAGGAAGAAATAAGCAGAATGAAGCAAGAATTGGAGACAACCAGAGATAAACTGCAGCCAGACACTGAGGAAGATCAGCATGAAGATCAGGAAACTACAGTTTCACAACGGAGGAGGAAAAGAACCGGGTCGACCCGGTTATGGATTCTAGTCATCATATTTCCTCGGAGGAGGATTTAGCAAGAGAACCAATACCAGGATGTTCAAATGAACTGGAATCCATACAAGACAACATCGATGAGGAAACCATCCAGCAGGATTTAGAGACTCCAGATATGAACAGCAAACAAGAAGGAAAGAAGAAAAACCAAAGACTCCAATTTGGAAAAAAATTCGAAACATCTTTAGATTGAAGAAGACAAAAAAAACAACACAGGAGTGAATTCAATAAAAAACGAGGCCTGTGGCGATTCGGCCTGTTATGATAACAGATTTTACTGAACGATTTAATCGTCTCAAAAAATTATCGCGATAAACTATAATATTGTTTGAAGATCTTTTCACACTGATTTAATGGATATTATCTAATAATACATGCGACTTCCTGCCACAGATAGATACACTTTACTTTCAAAACAACACAGAGAGGAATCCTGAACAGATGACACGGTGCAACCCGAAGTCCAGCAAACATCGGAGATGATATGTGGAAACATGAATGTTTAACCAACATTTCATGCAAAGAAAATATAAATAACTCGGGGAGGAGTTGGAGCGAAATTTCTACCAGAAAACCTGGTAACTTTTCAGCTGTTCTTCGTTAAGGTGACATAAAATGGTTATAATGATTTTCATTCAGTCAGACTGACACTCGCTACATGCATTGCTGGTAGATTGTAGTAAGGAATTGATTAAGGTTTCAAAATTAGTGAACTGGATTTATTATTTGTGTCCATTGTTGGACACAACACGGTTCGATCGAACCGTTATAGCCAGGATTTCTGTCGGCTGATGTGTCTCTCAGGTTTTGATAATGGCCGACAATCGGCGACATCAGATGGTGCAGCGCGCGCTGGGCGTTACGCTAAGGAAGTAAGGAAGGGAGGGTCAGTGGAGAGCAGCGGAGTTTCATTCAGTGTCATCAACAGTAAGAGAAAAAGGCAGGAAGAAACGTCTTTGCACCACATTGTTCTCATTTTCTCATGTTAAAAAACAACATTCTTCTTCTCTCATTTCCTCCCTTTCTTACATAATTTATAGGTTACTTAATATTCATACAGTTTCACACATACATGCACATTTTCACGTCCCCTCCATGGCTGCCACCTTATCATGGTGGGGGGTTTGAGTGTCCCAGTGATCCTAGGAGTTCTGCTGTCGGGGCTTCATGCCTCTGGTTGGGCCACCCGATGCAGACGGGTCCAAGGTGAGGAACCAGACCAAGTGCAGCCCAAAGATTATGATGAATACGACCTTTGGAAACAGGGTCGTATTCGCCCGAACATGGGGTCCCACTCTGGAGAGGCCTGGGGGCCCATAGAGCCCAACCGGGTTTTAACCCATGGAGCCCAACCGGGCCTTAACCCATGGAGCCCAACCGGGCCTTAACCCATGGATCCAGGCCGGGTCGTGTTTTAACCCATGGAGCCCAACCGGGTTTTAACCCATGGAGCCCAACCGGGTCGGGTTTTAACCCATGGATCCAGGCCGGGTCGGGTTTTAACCCATGGAGCCCAACCGGGTTTTAACCCAGGGATCCAGGCCGGGTTTTAACCCAGATCCAGGTCGGGCTCAGCCCAATGAGAGCCAATCTGTTCACCACCTGTGGGGTGAATTGAGAGGTTCCGGCTAGAAATAGTCAGACTGACTTCAGTGGACGGTTCTGGTTCTGGAGCCAGTCTCCTTGAAAGGGGTTGGATGTTCTCCACTCTGGGGTTGCCCCCTGTGAGAGGCGCTGGGCAGGAGGGGGCATATTTGTTGCCTCCCATCTTGTTCACTCCAACGCACCAAGAGGATAGCCTCTCCCTCTACATATGGGTTTGGGTCGGTTCTGGCTGCTAGTCCAGATTAGCCACTGTCCTTGGAGAATCTCTGAAGAAGAAACTGAGCACAACTTCCTTCTTCACTAAACATAAATAAAAATGGAGGCCTCAGATTTTAGCAGTTGTAGAATTTCTTTTTGCCTTTGGAGATTTAGAAATCAGTCGTTATAGATTATAGATTTAGTTTTTTACTTTTTCCATGATGTTTACATCTATTTATTATAAATGTTGCTCCCCACTGATTTTTCCTTTACGCAAAATAAAATAAAATGTTTGACTGAACCAGTAAAATTAACTTTCCAAAGAACAGATATTGAAAAAAGTTCACATCAGGTTATTATATATGCTACATGTGTCAAACTGAAGGCCCGAGGGCCAAATCTGGCCTGTCCAGCTTTTCACAAATAACTGCAAAATTCACACAAAAATCAACAGATCCCCACATTTTTTTCTAATTTTATCAACATTTTGATGAGAGAAAAAGGCAGGAAGAAACAATAAAGCCGCTAATTGAAATGAGGTCCATAGTTTTAATTTATCATGCGATTAATTGATTTATCCCGACAGGCGTGGGATCTACCTCTGAAGCCGCTGGATTTTAACCTGAATCTCTTTGAGTTTGGAATTATTTAGATTATATATCTCGATACAAACCCGCAGTTTCACTGCACACAACACAAAATCTTACCAAATATTTCTGGTCTAGTTTCTCATGAGATATTTTAGTTCACTTGAAAGTTGACAAAACTAACTTGCAAGTAACTTTTTAGCAAGTTATACGAGCTTGTTTCCTTAATGAAATAAATAAGAAATACTAGTTTCACTGGCAGATTATTTCACTTATGACATTTTTCCGTGTTATGAGCGAAACAATCTCCCAGAGAAATTACAACATTTTATATCAATATTCCAGAATGGCCGGCCTAAACAGAGCTCTTATATTTTTCTGAGAAATTACTCCCTCCTACTGAGCATGCATGTGGTAACAGTGGAGAGGAAAAACTCCCCATTAACAGGAAGAAACCACCAGCAGAACCACAACCTGGCTCAGCGTAGGCGGCCATCTTCCACCACTGACAGGCAGTTTGAGAAAACAGAGCAGATGCACAAAGGACACAAAGACTGATGTAAAAACACTTTCCATCCATCCATCCATCCATCCATCCATCCATCCATCCATCCATCCATCCATCCATCCATCCATCCATCCATCCATCCATCCATCCATCCATCCATCCATCCATCCATCCATCCATCCATCCATCCATCCATCCATCCATCCATCCATCCATCCATCCATCCATCCATCCATCCATCCATTTACTGCAAGAAAATAGAGTATAGATCACCCAATAATGAGAAACAATTAAGTCTTGATGTATTTTTCTTATCAGAGAATTTATAATTTGAATAATTAGTCTTACGAAACTGAGCTTTGGGTCTCGGGACGATTTCCAGGATGTTGTCAGACTTATCTGGGAAACAAAGAGTTCAGGTTTAAATGTCCCTCAGTGAAATTCAGACATGGAGACACAGAGAATCCATGAACTGGAGTAAAATTATTCAAATAAAAGTAAAAAGTATCCATCCATTACTCAAGTAAAAGTTACTCAAGTAAAAATACAAATTTTTTCCTTTAATTTGTTAAGTTTACTCAAATATTGAGTAACTGATGAAATTATCAATCATATAATATTTAAAAAATATTGAAAGTTAAGCAGAAACTTTGGTATTTTAAGGACCAAAATGACAATAAATAAATTTTCCAAATCAGTTTATTTCCACAAAAGAAAGTTTAACTAAACCTGCCGGTGTGCGTCTGAGTCTGGTGAAATTTTGGTTAAAACTTTTTTGTTTTTCAGTCAGTGGGAAGAAAATCCAGAAATTTTCCTCAAGTAAGAACAGAAATACTTCAAAATAAAATTTTACTTAAAGTAAAGTGGACTAAAAATATTCCTGAAAGTACCTTTTTCCCCTTTAGTTACTAAAATAAATGCAACTAGTTATTACCAATTAAACATAATAATATGTAATAATATTTGATTTGATTTAACTCACCAACTGGATCCCCATTTTTAGCTGTACTCTGCAACACAGTCACACAATGTTTCTCTTAATTTATTCCTTTGACTGCTAAGTTTGAAGTCAAAACATTATAATTAAAGTAATGCGATTTTCCTTGTTTTATGACATCTCTTGCTCTCGCTGTGAGAGCAAAATATTAAAATACAAATTTGTTCCTTTAATTTTTGTTTCTTTCACTTTTTTCTTTCCAAATGTTGGCACTTTTAGCAGATTTTAACGCAGAGTGAAACCCACCAGAGACGTTTCGGCCATCAAAAGAAAGAGCAGGCAGAAAACATTTGGAGTCATTGTGAAGTTTCTTTGTGAGTCAATACCTGAGCAAATAAAAGTAAAACAGTTAAATTATGTGTTTCTTTGCCATATACCCCAATGTGCAAATATGCAACTTTACCTGATGAGAGATGAAGTCAGAGAGAAATTTACCTGAAGAAGAGGCTGTTTGACGCTCTGTGAAAATGATGCTCTGCTCTTTATAACCAGTTTAACCACTAGAAGTGACCACAGCTTATTTCCTTGCAAGAGGAAAAAACACCCACTCATAATTTCACTGACAGGAAATGTCACTTGGTTAAAAGTTGATTCTCACAATATAGGTAAAATCAGAAGTTATGGAAACTTTCAGATTTGCAGAATTGGTGCTGGATATGCTGGTGCAATGCTGCTGCAACATGCAGGTCAACAAGCAAAATCCTTATTTGAAAATTACCAATATGAATACTGAAATATATGCAATAATGTGAAAAATGTAAGCGTTCCAACAAAGCAAACACATCAGCTTCAAAACAAAGCCTGGTGACAGTCAGTCAAGTGTGTCAGTTTGTGGTTAGAACTTTCTGATTCACCTAAAACCACAAAGGTGATTTCAAAACATCGCCTGATCTTAACTGGAAGTCAATTGATTCACTGAGACTTAAACAGAAATTTAATCAGAAATTTGAGGTTAATATAAAAATGTAAAACTATAAACTAATTTTCCTCCGTCTTCAGTTCCTGTGTTGATCCATTGGATAATAGCTAATAAAATACAATGTTTGTTTGGTGCCTGACAAGGGTTTGTCAATATTTTATTTAATTTTAGAGACACAAACTAAAGTAACCTGGCTCCATGCGGAAAAGTGTTTAGCTATCGACTGGCTAATCAATATTGACCCAATCTCATTTCTTCTTTAAATTCTTTTAACTGAAACATATTACAAGGTTTTTGAGAATCAACATTCTGTTTAAGGTTATGCCACAACTAAACTTAGTTTAAATCTGGACTTTGATTAGGCCAATCTTTGTTATTCACACAACATTTGTATTTTAAACCAACTCGGTGTGCTGATCAGCCCCAGACCGTCAGTCACTTTGCAGCTGTGCATCAGTAAAGAAGAAGCAAGGAGAGCAGCAACCACATTCAGGAAACCATAACAGTCCAGAGGACAACCTGCAGAAAGCAACTAAAGCAACTAAAGCAACGATACAGTGAAAATACGCTAAGAGCCAGAGATAAGCATAACACGACTACACCAACGATAGAGTTGCTTTTGATTTTTTTGACCGTGTCAGATGCGAATTTGGTTGATGATTTTGATGTTTCCATTGGTGACAGATGAGGTAAAGCACTTTGAACTGCCTTGTCGCTGAAATGTTCTATACAATAAGCTTAAACTGACTCAACTTTTAGAAAAGGAGTTTTATAAAAATATGAAGCATTTCCACTGAATTTATTTAGAAATAAAACCAATGAGTTTGTCTATGGGCCATTTATTTACTTACAGCATTAAATATGTGTGATTGGTCTGCAGACATAAGCCAGTTTTTGTCTGGCTTATCTGGTCGGTAGTATATATTTTAGACGTTTTCGGCTTTTGTCCCTTTTACCAACAAAACTGTAAACTTCTGTCTTGTGAATATTTGTAATGAAGTCGTCTGTGAACTCTGAACTTTAGTGAACTGAAGGACAGAAACAGAGGCCAGCCTGATTTTTATGAAAAAGCAAACATGATTGTCAAGCAGACTGCCCCTGTTCAAGTATTCAATGATAAGAATTTAAATATGGATCATGGAATAACTGCAGTGTTTGTACTGTTGGAACAAAGTGCAGCATTGATCATATTAATGAAATGCATAGAGCTTTAATAAAAAGGATCATCTGATTCTTTTACATAGAGGCTCCATGTAAAGTGAAAAGCAATAAGCAAAATCAAATCAAAGTTGCATGAAGTTGACTGAGGAACCTCCCATCAACAGGCGATGCAATGCAAGCTCTGACCAGCAGGTGGCTCCAGATGATCTTTTTAAAAATTGCGGCCAGGTTTTTGCAGTTTAAGTTTTTATGAGCTGATTATATTCTTGCAGCAGATCAATTCTTGGTTGTTGTTGATCTGATTTCTTCATGTTATATCAGTCTGTGAAAACAAACAAAAAAAATTAAATAGAGGCATTTAGAGAGTACTGTAGCAGTTTCAGAGATTCATTTGAGACTCACTGCATTGGTAAAGCCTGTTGACGCGGGTGATGTCGTTGGCGCTCATCCGAGTGGCTCGCCCCCAGTCATAGTTAGGATTGAACCGGGCCACAATGGTAGGCCTCCCATTTTTGGAGAAAGCATATCTTAAAGAAGACATAAATATATCCTTAACATTTTGATTAATTCATCAAGACGTTTTAACTGTTCATTTGGCCATAGAACTCCAGCTGAGTTTCCCATTTCTGTACTTCAATCAGAAATACTAAACCACCATGGCAGACTGAATCTCCCTGCGTTTTCATAAGTTTGAATGAATCACATCGTGGGACAGAAGTTGCCTGCAACTCACTTTCCGTACTGCATGACGGAGGTGAAGTCGTAGGGAGTTCCCAAGTTGTTGGTCTGTACTTTTTTGAACTGGTCATATTCTCCTGTGCAGCAGTCAAGAAAAGACAAACACAGTCTTTATGTGTTGTTTTCAAATGTTTAATCTGAAATACTTCCTATGTGTTATAGTGTTAAAACTGTGGTAAAAAGACTTGAGCAGGAAAGCCGGTCTGACTCAATTTTTCTAAAGTTACAAATTTCCTAAAACTAAAGAATATTGACAATGTTCTATTTTTATCTGTGAGTGAATTATGAAACTTCAAATTATTTAACTTCAAACTTACCGTCCTTAATGTTTTCAAAGAGAATCTGAACATGTTGGTCTCTGTCAGAGCGGACCTGCTCATGGTGGAAACCCAGAGCGTGAAGAACCTCATGCTGAATTGTGCGGCGGGACAAGCAGCCATCTTTATCCAGGGAGATGTACTGGCCGCCATCCTGACGTCCCAGGCTGGACCAACACCTGACACATTCCCATGAAAACCAGAGAAAAACGCAACGAATGTTTATGATGGTCTTACTAAATCTAACTAAAACCGGCCTTGATCTCAAGATGAAACACATGATGGTTTCATTTAGTAAAAAAGTTTTTGTGTTTAGCTTGTAATTTGAGTACTTACACCCTGGAATTTACTAAATGGTGTGAGTGAATAAACTGAAACTGGATGATCCAATGTAACTCCATGCAAACCAGCTGTTGATGGATGCAGTCATGCAGTGTGTGTGAGAGGTGTGTTCCTACCCACTGATTGACTCGAAGTAGATGAAGTCCCGAGTATTGCCACTATACGGGACGAAGCGAATGCAGGTGGTCTGCTCAAAGCTCTGGAGTGCAGTGAGAATGAGGTTGCGTTGTTCTTGAGCTGTAAACATTTTTTAATGCATTTATTTAAATCTTTTCAGTTCATTCTTGAGTAATGAAACATGAATCGGTTCCTTCCAGGTACACCAAGGTTTTTAAAACTTGGGTCTTCAAAGAAGCTAAAATGTTCCTCCAGTTTTTAAATATATTTTGTAAATCTTCAGCATCAGCATTGTGTTTACGCTCTGTCGGAACATTTAAAACATTGTATTTGTATTTTATACTACGTCGACCCGCGGCTTAAAAGCTTTTCAAGCAAAACGTCTTACTATAGTAAGGAGAGATGAGGTACGGCACAGTGACGTGGCGTCCCTGTTTGGGCCACAGGCAGCCTGTCAGGACACATGGAACTGCATTCTTGTTTGTGGTTTTCGGCATGAGGATGTCCCCCTGAAATATGTAGGATTCTGTAACGACAAAGACAGAGACTGCAGAGCAACAGCGGAGAAAACTGTAATGTCATCAGGAATGATGCAAAAGGTTCTGCAGAGGCCTGGAAGTGAACTGATTAAAACCAGAAATCATTCAGCTCCATAAGAACCGGCAACCGGCTCTGTGTGAGCATCGCCTCTAAGACCTTACATGGCAAAACTCTACATTTATATTCATAAAACTAAACGTTACGCCGTCCTTACACAACTCCCTGGTGAAATCTTTCACCAAACTCTAGACGTTTTTATGTGGAGGAGGAATGTCAAAGAAGTTTTTTCAATCTTATGGTCAACGCTTACTAATCAAAAGTAGCAGCTTGATTTAAAAAATCTTCCCCTTTGATTTTCATTTCAGTAAATGCTCCTAATTGTTGACATATTTTTGTCTTCTTGTTACAGAGATTATGACTTTAAAAGTAGTCTAACCAAAATCGATTCTTGGTCTTGGGATGACTTCCAGAGAGTTGTCCGTCTCATCTGGAAAACAGATTACCAGGACTTTAGATTTAAACTATTTATCAGTCAAATATAACATAAAAAACTGTCTTAATTCAACTCACTGACTGGATCCTGGTTTTTAGCTGGAGCACTCTGCAACACAGACACAGAGTTAAATAAAGTCTCAATGATGCAAAGTAAAAACAGAAGGAAAAGAACCAAGATGGCCAAAATTAATAAAGCATTATTAGCTTGGTAGTTCTGTGTTTCTCCTAAGAGCAAAGCTCTCCATGGTAGATAAATAAAGACACATTAAAATTGTAAAAGATAGGAGCAGATTTGTTCCATCAACAATGGTCCTAATACATTATAGAGCAATAATGTTGCATTTTAATTTGTTTTGTTTATTCATCTGCCTTCAAGTGCAAATGTCTAAGAAGAAACACACAATTATCATGTTAATGTTTTATTATTGTCAACTTAACATCTTAGGCTTCTGCTTCATTTATTTCATTTCCTTTTTTCCTATTTATTCTTTTCAAAAATGTTAATTTTAACATCATACTGACAGAAATCAGAGAGTGAAACCCACCAGAGTCACGTCGGCCACCAAGAGAAAGATCAGGCAGGGAACATTTGGAGTCATTGTGAAGTTTCTCTGCAGCTCAACGCCTGAGAAAGTAAAAGTAAAATAATTAAAAATATGTTTTTCTCAGCCTAAACATGCAGATCCACAAAGTGTAAATGCTGAAGGTTACATTACCTGGAAGCGAGAGGATGAAGCAGCGACTGACGCTGATGTTCAGCTGCTTCCTTTTTATAACCAATTCAACCACTAGAAGTGACCACAGCACTAGTTTGTCTCATAATCCTGTGATCTTTTCTCACAGGATGAGTTTCATCATTTCAGGTGAAGTAATGTCACACTTTGATATAAGTAGATTCACACAGACAAGATATGAGTTATGGAAACTTCAGTTATCATCATAAAACATGTAGATCCTAAAGTTACTTGAACTAGCAGTGGCGCCACGTTAAATTTACTTCTGACCTCAGTTCTTAATTATAAAAAGAGACCAGATAAGATCAGGGGAATTCTGAAATGACTTCAGGGTTTTGGAGAAAAAAGTAAAAAACACAAACACAAAGCTATTTGTTCCCAATCTTTGTTTTGAAATTGTTTTGTTCCAAACAGCTTTTTATTTTAGCACACTTAAACTTTCCTGATAATCAGATAAAATGTTCCTATCAGAAGAAAATAACCTGAATAAATGGGAAAAGGTGATTTCAAACGATTATTCAATCTATTAAGGGACATGAATCAATCTAACCCTGTTTAAAAACAGAATCGCTGTTTAACCTTAACTTTGTACCGTTTAGGTTGTAACGGCAGCATCGTTGGTTCAGAAAGAAAATAAACTTTAAAACACTGTTGTTAGTTTAGATCTGTTTACAATAATTTTGTGTTTTTATGATGTAAAGCATTTTAAACTGCAGTGTTGCTGAAATTTGCTATACAAATAAACTTGCTTGAGTGACCAAACGATCCCATCCTGACCCTGTTGAAAGAGGTCAAGCAACAGAAAAACAAGCAACTTGTAGAAAACAACCTGCAGAAAGAAGAAAGCAACTTGTTGAAGCAAACAGAAGCTAAAATAGCTTTTTAATGCAAAGATGCTGTCAGAGGCAGTGATGTCATGCCACACCTCCTTATAATGTGTTCCAGGAAAAAATGAAACATTTCCACTGAATGTGGGTAAAATAAAGTGTATGAGAACCACAAAATATGTTTGTTCACACAACTCTTTAAAAAATCTATATATAACATTGAATATATGCAAACATGAAACATGCTTCAGACTAAAACAAAGAAATTAATGTTTTTATTTTCTGTGAAAAACTGTTAAACATCCTCAATTTAATACAAAAAAAAAGAAAAATGAAAATGAAAAATGAAAGATAAACTAAGATTAAAGGAGCAGAGTATCCAAAAATTGCAATCAGGTAAGAGTATCTCTATTTAAATGTATTTTTACTCAAGAAAAAGTAAATAGTAACCATTCAAAAAATTACTCCAGAGTGAAAAAGCATTTGGCAAAACATTTACTTAATTACTAAGTAATCAAATGATCAATCATTTTATTTTTAAAATGAAATCATCAAATGGTCAGAATATAAACTTAAGTGGAAGTTTTGGTATTTTAAGGATGAAAATGACAATTTATAGAAGTTAAAAAAAAATCAAAAAGTAGTGATACTTCAAAATAAAGTTGCTCAAGTAAAAGTAAAAGTATTAAAACTACTAATAAAAGGAAATTTCTCAAAACATGACAAACATAATAAAATGAATGTAACTAGTCAAAGATAAAATAACTCCTGGTTTCTGAAAACTAAGTTTGATCATTTCTGGCTCACACTGACGTTAAATGATTAGCTTAAAAACGTCCTGTTAGAATTTTTGTTTGTTTGTTTTGAGAAACGTTAAAAGTTTGTGCTTTAGTGTTTCCTGCAGTTATAAAGTTTGTTGACTCGGTTGATGTCAGTGTTGCTCATTCCGTATGTGTTCCCAAAGTTGTGGACTTGATGGGACCTGGCAGCGATGGTTGGCTGCCCATTTTTGGAAAAAGCATACCTGCAAAACAAAGCAAAAAGTGAATGGAAGATATTAGTGTCAGCACTTTTTTCTTTTAAATAAAAAGCCTTTGGATGATGGGAAAGACTTACTTCTTGTAATGCATGACGGAGTTGTAGTCGTACGGAGATCCCATGTTGTTGGTCTGGACTTTCCAAAAGTTGAACTTTTGCTCTTTGACCAAACAGGAAACGTTCATGTCGTTTCACAGTGTGAATAAATTTAAACAGGAGATACAACTAAACTGAAACCAACTTATTCAAATGCACCATGTGTGTATATGTTCCTATGCAAACAGATGTTACCAACCTGGTTTGATGTTCTGGAATAAAATGCGGATGTATTGGTCTCTGTCCATGCGGACCTGCTCATGGTTGAAGCCCAGAGCGTGAAGGACCTCGTGGCTCACCGTCGAGGTTCGCAGACATTTATTTTTCTCCAGAGAGATGAGCTGCCCTCCTCCCTGACGGCCAATGTAGGACCAACACCTGAAAGACAAACACAAGCACACACACAGCTAACAGCTAACGGCTAACAGCTAACGGCTAACAGCTAACGGCTAACCGCTAACTGTATCTGCCGTCTTTTGACCATTATTATCTGTTAACTGTTTGGTTTCTTGGCTATATCCAAAATAAGTCAGAAATCCAAGAAGCTTATTCTAGAACAGGGTTGTCCAAAGTGTGGCCCGGGGGCCAGTCGTCGTCCTTGGATTCATTTTGTGTGGCCCTGACCGCAATTCAAGAAATTTGGCCGTCCAACGATTTGTAATTTTTTTAAAACGATGTTTTCAATGCCAAATTTATATCTTGTTTAACAGAAAAGGTTAACAATGACACAAATATTTGTTTTTTTTTTCTCACAACTATACCTGATGCATCAGAGCAGTTTCTATTTCATTTATTAAACTTTATTATGGCAAGAGTTTTGAAAGAAAGTGACCCAAATCTTGTTTTATGACTGAGAATAAATTGAAAAGAAACTGAAAACTGAATATTTTTATTTTAACACAGCAAATGTGCATTTGCCTGATTTTATTTATTTAAATATTTATTTATTTTTCTTGGCCTGTGAGTGCTTTTGACTCGACGATTTTGGTCCAAAAATATAAAATATGTACTTTATATTTTCCATAAAATACATATTTTATTTATTTAAAATTTTCTGGTGTTTTCTGTGTTTTATTCCAAAATGGTGCCAAGAACTAAAGGGTAAGGGTAATTTTATTTATGCAGCACATTTTCAGCTACAGGGCAAATCAAAGTGCTTCACATGATTTGAAAGGAAATACAAGCAAAATAAGTCAAAGGGCAAACAAGCAATAAAAGAAACAGAATCAAAGATTGATTTAAAGTATTTAAACTTTCCTCTCTTGATACAAATAAAACAGGACTGTGGAACAAAAAGGATTCAAAAACAGGAGCAGGAAGTGAAGCAGCAGGACAAAACAGAAACATTGGCTTGAGTGTGTGTGTGTGTGTGTGTGTGTGCGTGTGTGGGTGTGTGTGTGTGTGTGTGTGTGTGTGTGTGTGTGTGTGCGTGTGTGTGTGTGTGTGTGTGTGCGTGTGTGGGTGTGTGTGTGTGTGTGTGTGTGTGTGTGTGTGTGTGTGTGCGTGTGTGGGTGTGTGTGTGTGGGGGTGTGTGTGTGTGTGTGCGTGTGTGTGTGTGTGTGTGTGTTCATGTTCCTACCCATCACTATATCGACTATAGAAATAAAGGTAATCAGAATTCTTCAATTTAAACGGCACAAAACGGATGCAGGTGGATTTGTTGAATATTTGAAGAACTCTGAGGATTTTGTGTCGTTCTTCCAGAGCTGCAAAAAAATTCAAAAAGCTTAGTGTCTATATTACTAAAATTACAGATAAGGTCAAAATTATTAGGCAAAATTATTAGGCACCCCATGGAATTATAAGTCTTTTTCAAAGATTCACAAATGTGTTTTTAAATACAGCTTTTCTATTTATTTTGGATGCTTACATTTTTCTATGTTTTGCACCAAATTCTTTCCTGGAAATCAAAACCTTCCACGGTCAAAATGAATCGTTGCTCTGATGCCGATCACATCTTTGCGTCTCTCCGGAGGAATCCTCCAGATTTGATGGTCTTCCCTCATGGACTCTGCTCTTCAGTAGGTCAGGGCTTTGAATAGGCCAGTCAGGAACGTTCTGCCTGGGTTTCTGGACGGAGCTCATGTTTCGGCTCGTTGTCGTGTTGGGAGACAAACCGACAACCCAAACCCGGTTCTGCTGCTGACTGCTAGAGGTTTTCCTTCTAAATCTTCAAACATCGTTCTTTCTCCATCATTCCTCCAACCTTGATGAGATTCCCAGTTCCAGGAGTCACACAGCATGATACTTCCACCTCCATGTTTCACAGTGAGGACAGTGATCTTCAGTCAAACTCCAGGCTCTACTCTGGTCTCCTGTGGCTTCAGTATCCATAATCTTTGCCCAGATTGTCCTTGAACGCATCTCTTCGCAGTCCTTTTCTGTGCAGAGCTCTACTTTGTTTTGGTGGTTGTTCCAGGACTTTTGGACACGTCTTACTTTTTTAGTTCCTTTGCCAGACTTGTCCTGTACTTTGAGTTCCTCTCTCCACTTCTTGACACTTGGAAACTCTGTGATAACTTTACATTTTCTTCTCCTGCTTTGTGAGCATCAACCATTTCTTTTTCTCAAGTCTAAACTGAATTCTTTAGCTTTTGGCATGACGCTTTCTCAGGTGACAGCTCAAAGCCTCAATAAGAATTTTATTGTCGATTGACTGAATGCAAGTGAAAGCACATGATTTCACAGCAGTGGTTTGCACTTTGGCTAAATCAATAGGCCAGTTCTTTAGAGGGTAATAATTGGTTTTGTAAGAATCCAAAATAAAAACCAGGATGTTTGGAAAAGTCATACTGAAACATCATTGATCTGTTTAACAGCACCTGAGAAATCTTTGAAAAAACTTAAAGTTTCAGCAGAGGGTTTAGTCATTTTAACTTCAGCTGTCAGTTTTTTTGCCTGTTTTTGTCACATGATGCTTACAGTAATTAGTGTCGATGTAGTACGGTATGTAGACGTACTCTCCGGATTTGAACCACTTGCAGCCTGTGATGGTGCACGGGTCTGCATTCCTCTTTAAGATTTTTGGCATAGCAATGTCATCATATCGCTTTGGCTCTGCGACACAGCAAATGACAGACAAACACAGACAGGAATGCAAAAACAAGACTGCAATTTTAAATTCATCTGACATCAAAACCATGCGTATTTGTTGTTATTTTAAGGATTAGAGTTAAAATGATACGTTTTTCTCATTATTATCTGCTGGGTGTTTTTGTTTTGTGAGCTTGTGTCTCACCTTTGTCAGCTTGTGGTTGTGGGATGCTTTTAAAGATATCCATAAACTCTTCTGAGAAAGAAATGTTGCCAGAACCTTTGGTTAAATTTATGCCTCTGCTGTGTCAGATAAAATTGATCTTTGTTTCAAACTCACTGGGATACTGAGCAGGTTCTACTACAGGACTCTGGAACACAGATGGAAGAAAACTGCGTCATTTTGGTCTTTTACATGTTGAAACTTTTCTTTTTTTAAAAAATAAATACAATCAAAACGAAGAACAGCCTTTCATAAATCTTGGGTTTTGTCTAAGCTGTGAGGTGAATCAGTAAAACGAACTGATCCCATCATAAACTTACCGTGTCGACAGTTTCCACTGAGTTGAAGAGAAGGGACAGAAAAACCGGGATCATGATGAAGGTCCTGAAGCTTCATCGTGACACGAAAAGAAAATATGTTTTCTTTCTGTTTCAGTTTGAAAGCATGTAAACATGATGAAGAAAACAAATGGGAGTTAAAGAAGAGTCAGAGAGCCGTTTACCTGACGGAGCAGCTGAGGCTCAGATCCCGTCTGACACAAGAAACTGCTGACCAAGCTTTTTATATCCATCATTATTCCAGATGGGACAATCTGTTCCCAAAATAAACCAGTGCTGTTACAAGTTGCAGGTGAAGTGCATCACTGTTTGGTCCCGTCTTTGCACAATGTAGCAGCTTTTAACAACATGCAGCTCACGTGAACATAGAAGCAAATCTGTTTTTACAAAAATACAAAATGGAAAAAACAGAAGTCCAACTGAAAACAAAATGCTTTCAGCTCTTCCAGATGAGAAAGTGAAATAAATGTTGGGCTGTTTTCTCCCAGGTGATTTTAAATCTCTTCTGAAAACGTTTGTTTTCCTTTTCTTTTAATCCTTGGAGCTGGAGGATTAGGGCGATTCAGTCAATATTTCTTCTGCTTTCATTGCTTATTTTATCCTGTCATTGTTATTTTGCCTATTTCATTGGAAGTAGTAGAGTTGTTATCGACTAATAACATTCTAGAACATTTGTGCAGGGAGGTCATGATATTGACCACATAAAGAACAGAAATATTTGATATTATGACACAAAGCACACTGGCATTTTGTAAGTCAGCGTTTCTGTATCTCAACTAACAAATTAAAAGCTACATCCTTTGTAACAGGAGTATCCATCACAAAAGTTTCATCACTTACAGCACCAGAATGTAACTTTTATAGAAAAAATATTTTTACATACTTGTTAATATTATCATTATGTTCTGACAGTATCACATAAAACAGATAATCTGTGGAAAAATCGAGATCCTCTGCAGAAGCAAATCAGAGGCAGTAGGAGGGTCTTAGCGCTGTCCATCACTCTCATCCTCTTGCTTTTTACAAAACTACAGGCTATGCTGGCTCACCGCAACATAGCCTGCTAGTTAGCAAAGCCACAGATTATGGTAGATAAACAGGTTTTTTGTAACTTGGAGTTGCTTTTCAATCAATAGCAGATTTAAAAGAGTACAGGAGGATGATTAGCAGCGCTAAGCCCCTCCTCCTGGCTCTGATTGGTGGTTTTTGACCAGGAGAGGAACATTTCTTCAGAGGGCAATGGCAGGAGGAAATAGAGGAGTTGATTTTTTGTTTTCATTGCTCATCTGTCTCACAAGTCACAACCATGTTTATTCTTACTTCAAATAAAGTAAGAATTAACATTTTATTGTATCTAAACTCATTTAAAACTCTGATTATGGTTAGCATAAGAGCACAAATATAGTCTATGAATATATACTTTTATTTATCTCACCTGCTTTACATTATTTTAGCATTTAATTTTTAAACAACTTCACTGAAAGTGTGGAGGCTTTTATTTTGTGGTGCTGCACTAAGGAAACCCTGATCTTTGTCCCAAATGTCCAACTGTTACAGAGAGAAAGAAACATTGATGTTGGAATGATCAAATTTTATTTGGTACTTGATTGAATGGATTACATGAATTACAATACCATTAAATTTCAGAAAAAACATGTTGGTCACAAGAATAAAACATGTTGGATGAGAACTTGTAACATTATGTAGATAAAAACCTTTTTAGTCCAAATGTAATTGGGGAACTTTTACATTTCACATTTCCATAGATTGTACATTCTTGAATAATTGCCTTTTATTTAGATATTTTATACCAGTCCAGTCCATCTTTCCATCTTACACAGTTTTTATGTCACAACATAATTTACTTAACCAAAATTCCCCTTAGATTTATCTTCAATTGAAACATTCCTTTCCATTTTTTATAGCAGATGCAAAAAAAGCCAAACCATAGTATAAAAGAAAACCTTTTTTGATAAGAAATCCTTCACCAATAAGCACCAATATGTATTCTGACATTAACAGATTGAGATGTAATACCCAAAAATCTGTTTCTTCAGCAACTGTCTTCAGCAGTTATGTAGTTAAGTAGTTAAATGCAGTAAATGAGACAGCAGAGGAAGAGTTTCTGTAGCTCTGAGATTTTGAGAGAGGAGCAGGTCAGAGCCGAAGGTCAGCTGGCGAGCTGAAGTTTCTCCTTATGGTGTTGAAACTTAAGCTGAGAGAAAAAGTACCGTAAGTCATACAGCTGCTGGAAATGCTAGAGAAATGTTTGAAAAGATCAATATTTTACTCACAGCATCCGTAGAGCCTGTTGATGCGGGCGATGTCGTTGACGCTCATCGATGAGGCTCTTCCAAAGTGAGGGAAGGATTAGCTTTGGAAAGGAGAGTCGGTTGGCCGTTTCTGGAGAAGGCGGTCCTGGAAGAAGGAGGAAGTGATGAACAAAATGCATCTGCAGTCACAGTCAGACTGAAAACAGCAAGCTGTGTGTAACACAATAGAAGGTATTTTTGAAGCCAAGACTCACTTGGAGTAATGCATAACGGAGTTGAAGTCGTAGGGAGTGCCCAGGTTGTTAGTCTGCACCTTCTTAAAGTTGTGTTCCTTCCCTGATTAAGAAAAAAAGTTAACTTTTTAAATTGTCACTTTATTTCAGAAAATGTCACTTTTCCATTGCAATAGATAAAAGTAGAACATGAGGCAATGTGATCTTACAGTTTAAATGTCAGTTTCCAAACTTCCCACACAAAAACCCGCTGAGTTCTCTGATTTAGGTCATTTGGAAAGTATTAAGTTCCCTATGAATGACTGAATGGATCTGAATGCAAATAGTTTTTTTTTTCATTTGTGTCCAAATGTGCAAAATACAGAAATGTATGACTTGTTTAAAATACTTCTGTTTTCAGATCTAACCAAGATGTTCTGCAGATAGAAGCATTAAGCCACGGTTGTGTGACTGAGCCGACCTGGGATGATGTTCTGTGTGAGGACCTGGACGAAGGAGTCTCTGTCAGAGCGGACCTGTTCGTGGTGGAAGCCCAGAGCGTGGTTGATCTCATGCTGCACCGTGGAGTGATACACGCAGCCATTTCTACTAAGAGACACAAGCTGTGCTCCACGCTGACGGCCCAGGTTGGACCAGCACCTGACGGAGAGATCAGGAGGAAATCAGTGGAAATGTGTGGAAGTAAAAGTCACGATATGTGACTGAGTTCCTACCCAGGTCCTGGGAAGAAGTGAAGGAAGTCCCTATGCCGTGTTGAAGTCCACCAGACAAAGCGAATGCAGGTGGAGGCGTGGAAGCTCACCAGGCCATTGATGATGATGTTACGCTCTGCCGTGGCTGCAAGACAAAACATCTTACACCAACGTCCTAACTACAAAACAAACTCCAACACAGACATCATCTACTGTTCCCTCTGCCTTCTGAAATAAACATGAAAGAACTTGGAAAAGTTTGCATCAATTTTAAAGTCTTGTGTGTTTATTCAGGTGCTGGTTTTGCTCACAGTAAGAGCTGGAGATGTAGAAGGGAATGTAGACATATTTTCCAGTTTTGGGCCATTTGCAGCCGGTGGCGGTGCATGGGTCTGCGTTCCTCGATTTGCTCGGAGCAATGTCACCGTGGACCAGTGGAGTCTCTGCAGAAACACAAAACACACAACAGAGTGAAGAACATTGATTCTTATGACACAAAGGATTTTTGTGTATTCTTTGACCTCTGCCTCTTGAACAAGACATGCTGCATTGAGCTGGCCAATGAAAGCACTCCAGGAGAGTACAGAGTCTTTTACTACTTATTCTTATTACACACAAGGAACCAATGTATTGTTTTATACTTTTACAATATTTTTAAAATGCTTTGCTATCCTGGTTAGAAATTGTACAGACTGCAAATAAACCGATTGATCACTAGTGAAATGTAGGGACAGTTCCTTATGCAGATTAAAAAATATCCAGTTTCTTATCAGGCTTGAAGATTTGACAAAGGCAAACCATTAAGCTAATTTCTGAGAAATGAATCAGTCGATTTATTAATAGATGATTATTTTTTTGTCTCGACTTGCAAATATAAAATTACATTCAAAGCTTTTGGGTTGTGTGAAATTGCTGTCTTACTTATGCCTTCGTTTGCTTTGGAGATGATTTCTGTGACATCCGTGTCCTCATCTGTGGGAGGAAGGAAAGAAATCCACATGTCAGAGATTTCAGTTTCACTTCAAGTTTCTTTTATTTTTTCTACTCACTGATTGGTTTTCACTGTCATCTGCTTTCTGCAACACAAACAGAGATTTCAGCATTTAATGACAACCACATTTCTTCTGCTTCATGATGGTTTGGATATTTGTTGATGCTGCATTGCAAACCCAATATATCTAAACACATTAGGCTTCCCTATGTTGGATGAAACAAATTAGTTTTATTTGTCTCCCTTCAAACTTACCAGAGGAACAGCCGCCGTCCTTGCCATCGAGATGGTGAGGAAGAAGAAAAGAAAACTCTAAACATCTTGCTTTTCTGCAGGGAAGCTTCTGACCTGAAAAAATCCAAATCTAAACAGAGTTTTGTTGTTAAGATAACAGTTCAAGTCTTGGAAGATAAAAGCAGTTTGTTAAAGCAATAAGAGAGGAATGTGAGTGGAGGAGAAGAGGCTACCTGTCAGTCCAGGAGTCTGAGGCTGGATGCAGAAGCAGCTCAGCCTCCACCTTTTAAACGCTGCGAACACGGGGTGTGCCTCAGGGCTCATTGTTTGTGCATCAGTCACCTGTCAAGTATCTTATTGATCTTGGACCAAAATGGGAACACAGCTTTTTTTTCCCATCACTTGAAGGAAGTTGTCAAATGTTAAGTTATATGCAAATATTTAATTTGCCACTTAAATTATTGTTTTGAAACTATCAATGTAAAATAAAATGTAATTGTTTAGAAAAAGTCAGATCTACAATTCAGAAATAGAAGTATACTCACAAAAACAGAAAGAGCTAAAAACAACCTCAACTTTTAATGTTCAGTTAAATGTTAAGGAAATTTTAATGAGCTTACATTATTATTACTCTGATTGGGATTTAATTGCCCTGAGAATAAACCTGAAGTGGATAATAGGAAAAGCTTTGAGCTGAACAGTTTGGACTTTAATGATCAGAAAATTCACAGAATGAATTCAGAGATATTAGAAGCTAAATTATTTATTTGTAGTAAGGTTTCCATGTTGCATGTCCTGGTTCTCTCAGGGGCTCCAAACTCTCTCTTCAAACTCTGACCGTTTAAAGAGCTTCACTGTGGATGGAAGAAGTTTTTCTAAGCATGTGGCGAAAGTTTGTTTTCATTCATGTCAGAAACCACATTTAATGTGATGACAGCAGGCATGTGGATGGACCAGTTAATCCAGGACTGCGACTATTAACTCACCTTCTTGTTCCTCCACTTAACAATTGCCACATTGTTGAAGACATTTGAATCTGTCAATCAGTCGGCTGCTTCATTGCAACATGGGATCTTCATCTGCAGGTCGCAAATCCGACCTTCTGGGTTTACTGGCCACCAGTCTCCAGAACAGAGGTGTTAAAAGTGCGGCCCAGGGGCCATTTGCAGCCGTCTGAGGGACTTTGGGCGGCCGAGATGGAGCAAATCTGGCCTGCTAGGGTAAAATGGTTGATGCAGGTGGAAGCTTTTTCAACATTTTGACATTTTCTTAAAACAATATTAAAAGATAGATTGAAATTTATTAATTAGATTTTCCATTTATTTTAATTTTGGAGTAACTAGAACAACAAGCGTTGACCTACTTTTTCTCAAAAGCAAAACTTTCTTCTCATTCAGGAAAACAACACAGGAAATGCAGAAATCAGTGAGACTGATGTGAGTGCATTTATCTATGTGAACAAACACTCATTTGTAGTGTGTGCGCTTAAATCTCACTCAAAACCTATTTTGTCACACTCTCCTCCCAGATCCCCCTTCCTCATTTGCAACTTAACAAACATATATAAATATGTAAATAAATATGTTAACCATTAATGTTAAAGTTAGGCCCACCAGAACAGAAACAAAACACTGCAGAAAGTTTTAAACAGTTTTTTTGTCATGGGGCCCCAGATTCTTGGCGGCGCCCCTGTGTTACACTAATCGGGTTTTGAGTAATTGGATTTACTTGTTTTTTTTTGTAAACTGTTTAACTTTTTTTTTCACTTGATAGAAAAATTGCACAACTTTGTGTTGGTTTATCATCTGCAATTCCAACAAGATTTTTGATTGAAAGGTGACGAAACGTGTAAAGGTTTTTAACTATAAGATCATCTGTGGAGGCGGCAACAGAAACTCAGTAAATTTTTCTAGTGTTCTTAGTCATCATCCTTCTCTAAATCCACAAAATACAGATAGACTGGACAATGAAATGAAATGCTGAAAAACAGTCATTTGCAAAATCCATAATATTTCCTAATCTTACATGTTTTTATGAAACACATTTCTTTCATTAAATCCTTTACTTGAGTTTCTTTTTCTTTTCAAGTAGGTCACAGTGATGACCTTCTTATCATTTTGCTCTCACCTACATAAAGCATTCAGGTTGTTGAAAATGAAAGCTGAAACTCGGTAAATCAATAAGCCATATGAAAATAAACATTGATTAGTGTCAGATAAGTGAGGGTGAATAGATGACACATTCATCTGCCTGTACGAGAAAAGGCTGGACGGGAAACCAGGAAATGATAAAAATATGAAGTGAACAATCACATTAATAGATTCTATTTCAGTCAGTTAGACTACATTTATTGTATGTTTGATGGGATATGATGGATTTTCAAAGTACATTTCTGATAATCATATAAATCTTGGTTTTATATATACTTTTTATTTTAAACTTTTGTTGGTATTTGTCGTTTTAGGTTGTTGTTTATGTCCATAAATAGTTTCACTGGATTAAACATTAACACCTAATATGACTGAAATATTAGGACTTAAAGTGTTTATTTAGATCTTAAGTTCACAAGGAACTAAAAAATATCTTCAGGAATACCGTTACAAAAGAAAAACAAGTCTGTGAAGTGTCTGTCATTTTTAGAAAATGACAGCCTCCTTTCATGAGAACTATTTAAAAACAATACATTGTGTCACTTGGAACACACCTGGAAACCTGGTGAAGTTGGCATGAGGAAAAACTTTACACTGAACTTCCAGGAACAACTGAGGCATATTTAATTTTTAATTTGCATGAAAGCCAAACTCACACCTTTGCACAGAAATACATTTCCATTTAAAACGTCACGTTCATTTTTTTCTCTCCAATCCAAAAGCATCCAAAAAGTTTCTAATTTCATTACACATTTCCGTAATATTTAGATAAATGTCTCTCATCAGGTTGCATCATTCTTTCTTCTAACAAGCGACATTTATACTGAATGTTTGAGTTTTATTTATAAAAACTTTATTTAAACTGGTTTGTTTCCAGTGAGAAAACCCACAATTTTCTAATCAGATCTTATATTTATAAAATAACACGTCATAATTACAAGATCCTGATCTCATAAGTTTGAGAAAAGATCTCATAATCACATCTCACCTCATAACGCAGTGGTACCATAAATTGATTTATTCAAAATTAGCATTGCTGGAGGATTTTTTATAGTTTGTTTTATGTTTGGTAAATGTTGCAAATCCTTGACAAGTCATGATTTTTGTCATTGTTTCTATGCTTCTCTCACCTCAGTGGCTGCAAACATATTTTCCTGCCAGTTTACAGGACAAAATGCTAAATATTGACAAAAACATCACCTGCTCTCTGGTTCAGGTTTAGTAAATCGCAATACGGGTTGTAAGTCGAAACATTTTCATTTTCTCCTCCCAGTATTTTCCATTTACTGACTTTTCATTTAATTACAACCAGTAGCAACATTATCATTTTAAAGCAGTTATTACCAACAAGCCATATCAAAACTATTTAAAGAGAGCAACTTTACAGAGTTGTTGCAGCTGAAAGTTTGTCTTTGGATGTCATTGTTCTTCTCTGAGGTGAAAAGCTTCAGATCAGCAGACAGGAGTCTGTCTGATGTTCCGGCACCACTGCGTCTGATAAGAATGTCTTTGTTCACTGAGACGTTTTGGCATAATGTTCATGATGCATCCATGTTGGGCATGCTGCACATGTTCTGAATGTATCGCATGATAAACACAGTGGGAACCGGCACTGGGCCCAAAGGACATGAAGTGGAAATCGTGCTCAGCTCCCGGCTGGGTCAGAAAACGCAGAGTGACAAGATTAAATTTAGACTTTGTTCACGCAGCAGGTAAATGTAAACTGAGTCCCGCTTTTTCACGGCTCAGTTTTGATCTTTTCAAAAATCCGATTTGTGCCACTAACAGACGTGGAACTAAAGCCGATGTCAGAACTAGCATGTCACATTTTATCTGGCTTTTCGTCATTGATGTGAAACATGCATCATATTTCTGCACCAGCAGAAACCAAATGCAGTAAATTAAAATCATGAACATTCTGAACTCATAAGAAGTCTGTCAGTATACATGTGTACAAAACTTTGTTGATTTTCCAGCGATGTCAAAAAAATTTAATTTTGCAAAGATGGCGTTTCCATTAAATAAGAATCACACATGAATAATTTTGTCAGAAAACTTGCTGCGCCTTCCTGTTGTCTTCTTCTTCGTGGGTTACGCCAGTGGCAACATTCTGTTGGCCATGTGACTTGTATGATGAGAAAAAAGTGTTTCCATTGCAGTTTTGCAAAAAAATAACACCACATCCTTGTGCCAATGTTGTTTTATCTGAATAATAAGTTTTCTCAAATCGCATTTTGTTCGCTGACAGATGAAGAACGACGCGCTGAAACCGTGCACGGCCAGAGTCATTAGGACTTGGAAAGAAAGACCCGGGAAGTGAATTCTTCGCCAGGCCAGCGCCTTGGGTCCGACTTTGTCTGCCAGCGGCGGGACTGCCGAGATCCGACCGAATAGAACGAGCCGACGGAAAGCGTGAGTGAAACAATTAAATAATTAAAGGGTTAAAGTCCCAGTTGATGTTTATCAGCTAAAAATGTTAAAGTCCTTGTCAATAGTATTTTGACTAAACGGGTTAAAGCCCAGTTGATGTTTATCAGCTAAAAAGGTTAAAGGCCTTGTCAAATAGTATTTTGACTAAACGGGTTAAAGGCCAGTTGATGTTTATCAGCTAAACAGGTTGGGAGTTCTTGTCGGAACAACTTGACTAAAGTCCCAGAGGGTGTAGAATCCCTGTCGTCTCAACTAAAATCTACGAGAGAGGTGTTTTTAGAGCCCCTCTTTTAATGAGGACTTCCCATAAGGAAGAATCCTCGCACTGATAGGAAATTGTTAGTTGCTGCGATTTTTGTTGCTGTGTCATTGCTGCCGTGCTGTGTGTGTGTGGTGTGTATGTGTGTGTGCATACAAGAGCGAGTGGTGCTCATCTCTCTCTGTGAGTAAAACTTTCTGTCCTCGGAATTAGAATCCTAAGTGAAGAACCGGACTGAGGCTAGTCTCAGTCTAGAAGCCTGTTCTTCAGGGGACACTAAGCGCTGACCTCCAGCACTTACTTGAGAGAGAGCACAAAATATCAAGTCACTTCTAAAGCTAAATTGCAGAGTACTTAATAATGGGAAATAAAAATTCTTGTAATTCCTCACTTGTTGAGGATCCCACAGGGGATGAAAAGTACATGCTGTCCAGATTTCCTGGTAGCACAGTACACATGTCAAAATGGAAGAAGAAATATAAGATAGATGGGAAATTAAAAATTGAACAATGGCAAACTTTAGTGGGAATATTAGAAAAAAGTGTAGCTGAAAAACAAGGAAGGAGGAGAGAAAGAAAGGAGGAAGAACTGAAATGTGCTAAACAATGGTTAGACGCAACTAAAGAAAGGAGAGAACAAATTAGAAAAAACAAAGACAAAGGGAGTAAATGTGAGGAAGCCACTACTTTGTTTGTAAAGCCGGAAGATAACGAGCCCATACTAGGTGCAATGCAGGCCCCTCCTCCGCGCACACAGGCAGCGCTCCCCTTGGCTCCTCCAACTCTCACTCCTGCAAAATCACCACCAGCTGAGCTGACCACAGATCCACTGTCAGTTCTCACTCCAAATACACTTTATCCACCCCTTCCTGTCTACCCACCGTTGCTATATGAGAAGGAAGGCGCAGGTTCCAGTAATCAGGGACATTCATATAATCTCAGGCAGTACAAACAGCCAAAAGTTTTGAACAGTTTTGACGGTACAGAACAATATCCAATGATCCAGGTCCCAAACCCAAATCCTAGAGATGGCCAGTCACCACACATTTATGTTTCAGACCCTGGACTTTAGAAGAGGCCAGGAAGGATGTGGAAGGAATAACACATGTTGCAGAGGACCCCGATAAGTGGATAGAAGACATGGCTGGATTAATTCACTCATAGAGACTAAATGGGGTAGAAGTAGGAGAAGCAGCCATGTCCTCATTAGGGAAAAGTTGGGCAAAAGTAAGGGGAAATTATACAGAGAAAGCAACAGATGACAACATTTTTTTCTTTCTTTTCAATGTATTGATTACTTGGTAGAACAATTACAAAAGAAATTGACACCAACTTTGGTGCTGTGATCCTTTGGCTGTATGTTTGGGGGGTCAGCGATCAGAGTTTTGGTACCGACCTGGACATTATCCAGCCTCTTATCTCACTTAGGCTTAAAATGAGAAGAGGGCTGCTCGCTGACTTCACACCTCAGCATTAGGATCAACAAACTTAAAGTAATTCATTGATCTCTGATGTTTCTCAGACTAAGTTAACTTAAACTTAAATTAACTTACATTCTACATTAAACTCTAACATGGCAAAGCATAAGAGACTGTGGGTTTAACATGTTTCATTTTTATATGTGTTCGAATAAGTTAATGACTCATAACTTTTAAATAAAATGTTGGGTAATAAGTGGCTAAAATTATATAATCTAAAGAGAGAAAAGAATATAGATATGAAATATATATATATATATATATATATATATATATATATATATATATATATATATATATATATATATATATAAAATTCCCTTCTCACCCACCGCGGGTGGTTCTTATCCTCTGAGCTCGGGTCCTCTACCAGAGGCCTGGGAGCTTGAGGGTCCTGCAGTATCTTGGCTGTGCCAAGGACTGCACATTTCTGGACTGAGATGTCTGATGTTGTTCCTGGGATCTGTTGTAGCCACTGCTCCAGTTTGGGGGTTACTGCCCCGAGGGCCCCGATGACCACAGGCACCACTGTGGTCTTCACCTTCCAGGCCCTCTCCAGTTCCTCCCTGAGGCCCTGGTATTTCTCCAGTTTCTCGTGCTCCTTTTTCCTGATGTTGCAATCACTTGGTATTGCTACATCTACCACAACGGCTTTCCTCTGATTTATCCATATATATATATATATATATATTATATATATATATATATATATATTATATATATATATATATATATATATATATATATATATATATAAATATATATATATATATAATATATATATATATATATATATATATATATATATATATAGAGAGATAAATACTTTTTATCTTTTTCTTTTAAATAAATAGTAAAACTTTCTTGAACTTTGTGTGATACATACAGAGACTTTTTTGATGCATTCATCACTGGTGTTAGCCACCGAAGGGCTTCCTTTGATTTGCAGAACTTCTTAAAGTCAAAAACATCGAACACTTTTTGTGAAGACAACAAGACAAAAATCAGTGCTTGACTCAGGTGTGTTGAAGTAGAGATAAAAGTTGCAGGAGACTGGCCCTCGAGGACCTGGAGTGCCCACCCCTGCAATGGAGGAATTTAAGTGTCTATGGGTCTTGTTCACAAATGATGGAAAACATAGAATGGGAGGTGCACAGGCGGACTAGTACTACATTTGCAGAAATGCACACTCTGTGCCGGTCTCTTGTGGTATAGAGACAGCTGAGCCAAAAGGTGACGCTCAGTTTATTGATCATCCACGATCAGCTTTGGGAAGCTTCTAAGCTTCCTCAGTGGGTGCTTGGGCTCTGTTTGAGAGATAGAGTGGTTAGCTGGACATCTGGGAGGGGCTCAGACCAGAATCACTGCTTCTCCACATTGAGAGGAGCCAGTTGAGATGGCTTGTGCATCTGGTTTGGATCCTACCTGGTGAGGGGTTCTGGGCATGTCCCATGGAGACAAGACCCAGTGGAAGACCCAGGACTCACTGGAGAGACTATGTTTTCCTCACATTTGGATTCCCCCAAAAGAGCTGGGGAGAGGGACGTCTATGCCCCTTGCTTAGGTGCTTCAGCCATGACCCAAATTTGGATAAGCAGAAGACGATGTTGGACGGACAGACGGAGGATAGATGGATGGATGGACGGATGGATAATAGGCAAACCGGCCTCTTTTCATCTTAGGAAATGGCCAGTTCTCAGTTGTTTCAGTGGTATTAAATTTTCTTATTAAAAATACAAAGAATGGAACAATAATGTTATTGTTTATTTCCTCAATCTTCCAAATACTCACCTGAGAACCTCCAGTCTACACGTTGGACTCCTGAGTCCATAAGAAAGCAAATCTACTCCTTCATCATGCAGGTCATTGTCAATCAGGTCCAACTCTCTGAGGCAAGAGTTCTCAGCGGTTAGCATTGGCACCAGGAATATACAGCTTCTCTGCGACAGGTTACAGCTAAACAACCTGAAAGATAAGCTCCAGATAAATACTTTTTACTTTTTCTTTTAAATAAATAGTAAAACTTTCTTGAACTTTGTGTGATACATACAGAGACTTTTTTGATGCATTCATCACTGTGTTAGCCACCGAAGGGCTTCCTTTGATTTGCAGAACTTCTTAAAGTCAAAAACATCGAACACTTTTTGTGAAGACAACAAGACAAAAATCAGTGCTGACCACTGAGAAGAGGTGAGGTCTTTTTCCAGGACTTCTCCACTCAGGTACTGTTGAATCTCTTCCTCTAGGGAATGGTCATTCAGTTCACTCAGCCAGTGAAAACATCCGGATGCTTTTCTCAACTGAAGGACTATCCCTGATATTTTTCTTGATGTGTTGGATAAGCATTTTTTGAACCTGTGGAAATTTTTGGTTTTCCACAGGCCTTGCAGGAGGTCTTGGTTAGTTTTCAGTGAAAGCCCCAAGAGAAAGCGGGTAAACATGTCCAAGTATCCATCTGGACTCTCCAAAGCCTTGTCAACTGCACTCTGGTAAAACTGTTTAAATTTAGATTCGGGTTGCAAAGCACTGCGACTCTTTTCACCAGATTGTCCCCAGCCTTCATGAACACCAAGAAGACATAAAGTGCAGCCAGAAACTCTTGAATGCTCCGATGGACAAAACAAAACAGCCTTTCTGGTTCAGTATGCTTCCTTGAAAGTCTCTGTAAACACTCCTGGGTAAGTCGAGGCAGTGTTTATGTCAATGCCATACTCTTTTAGGTCCTCTTCATAAAAGAGCAGGTTTCTTTTTTCCAGCTGCTCAAAGCTAGTTTTCCCATTGAAAGAAAGATTTTCTGAGTCTCTGAATTCCAGATGCCATCAGTCAAAACGTTTTTGCGATACTTGGCATTGTCCTGTTTGACCTGCACAACCAAGAAATGGATATACAACTCAGTCAGGGTGTTGGGCAGCTCTGTTTTCTCTTTATCTTTCAGGACCTGATCCAGAACTGTAGCAGTGATCCAACAGAAAACAGGAATGTGACACATTGTATTGAGGCTTCTTGAAGTCCCAATATGAGAGATGATTTTACTGGCCAGTTCCTTGTCTTGGAGTCTCTTTCTGAAGTATTCTTCCTTCCGCTGGTTTGTGAAACCTCTGATTTCTGTCTCACTGTCAACATACTGAATAGGATCTGATGGACTGCCGCGGGTCGTGGTTATCCAGAGACGAGCTGAGGGAAGTAGCTTCCCTCTGATGAGGTTTACGAGTATCGTGTGGACTGAGGAGGGTTCTGTAGCATCTGTCAGAACCGGAGTGTAGTGGAAGTCCAGAGGAGGTTGAAGTTCATCCAGACCATCGAAGATAAACATAATCTGGAACTCTTCAAAGCTACAGATTCCTGCTTTTCTGATTTCAGGAAAGAAGTGATGAATGAGTCCCACTAAGGTGATGTTTTGAGATTTCAGCAAGTTGAGCTCTCGGAAGGTGAATGGGAAGATAAACTGTATGTTGTGGTTGGCTTTACCTTCAGCCCAGTCCAAAGTGTACTTCTGTGTCAAGACTGTTTTCCCAATGCCCGCGGCACCTTTGGTCACCAGCGTTCTGACTTCTTCGTCTCTTCTAGGTTCAAAAACATCCTCACAGCTGACGGTTGTTCCTGGATCTTCTGGTTTCAAGGATGCTGCTTCAGCAATTGTCAATCTGTTTGCTCTGCCTGGTGGTTGTTTCAGAAGTGAGGAACATGGTGACTGAGGTTTACAGCCAACTATCCAGATTATGCAGCTTTTTTTTTTAGTAGATAGCGGTCCTAAAACTACATACCTTTAAAAATATGAACAAATATGTTCAATTCCTTAATTATTTGATTCATGGGTGATACAAGTTTGGTCATTTGGAATGCAACTCAAGGACTGTGGCTTCTTAATGTAAGTGTTTCTGCTACTGGACAAGAAACAAGGTTAAAAGATGACAGTGGTATTTACTGAGAGCAAGACTATGTCTAGTTATCAGGACAGACTGAGACCTGTAAAAAAACTGTTGGATCCATATGACACAATTATGATCTTAATATGACAGAGGAGGGAACCGGTTATCTGCTCCAACAATGTATTAGCCTTCAAGGAAATCATTTGGATACAAAGAGCAGAAATATCTCAACATCAGATTATTATTATTGTTTTTACTCTTATATCAGTGATTTAAAACATTTTTAAATTTTTGATACCATGCGGTGCCATGCAGTACCATGTGGTCAACCGCAAGTTGTGCGTGAATGTAAAAGTCAATTATTTTTGTCACCCAAAGAAAATTGTAATGTGTTTTATTATGAGTAGGATTAACCGAGCTGAAGGGAAAACAAAGAAAAAAGGAGAAATAAATATTCAGCGATACAGAATTGACTCAGCAAATATGAACCTAGGAAATTATTGAAACCTTCAAGAATTTTATGTGGCGTAAGATATTTAAGAAAAATAATCCTGATTCCATACTCATGAATTCTTTATCTGGTTGTTATCTCTAAATACGTTTTTATGTTGAACCCCAGACATCTCACCTCTTTCCCACAGTTTTTTACACTTTGTTCCACTACTTATAGTCAATGTTTTAAAAAAAATAAAAACCCAGTACAGAGTTTTTGAAGCGATGGAGGAAATTTACGTCAATATGGAACCTGTTGAACAAAGTGCATCTCATCCCACAGGTAAGAACAAAGTCACAGAGAAATATAGTATGTATTTAATTTAATTACATTTTGCTAAGGCTCAGGTTTCTGTTCAGGTTTCTGTTCAGGTAGCAGCAGCTCCAAAGAGAGGCTCTGCCTCGGTGTGGCCGTATCTTTGGGAATCCTGAACGTTTTCCTTTTGACCGAACTCATCGCCCTCAGTGTACACAGTGAGTCTTGTTATAGTCATCTTAAAGATGTAAAATGAGTACATTTTATGTTTCTGTTATAAAAAAAATGTCATTGATTCCTTTCTGAAATCGAACTGATGAATTAGCAAGGGTATAAAAAAGAATAAAGCTTGGTTACTCAAAGTGATGCAGAGAGCTGAAACATTACACGATGTTACATGAGTTTGAATTATTTTCAGCAATGCTTGCATTTGCAGCATTTAGGGTAGAATGTCTCCTCTTTCTTTTTTTTTCAAACGATTTTCTGTTCAGCGTTACCTCAGTTTAAATTCTACAGCAGATTTTACACCTGATTGGCACTTTTGCCAAAATCATGAAATTATTTTGTAAGTTTTAAGTGAAAATACGATGCAACTTGTTTTTGCAAACACGTTTGTTGATTTTATTTATTTATTTTGTTTCCAGCTCATGACATGACAGCAGATTTTTCTGACATCAGCAACATTCTGACTGAGCGGAACAGCAACAAGTTTCCCTCCGTGAACGCTAACTTCACTGATAACTTCACTGATAACTTCACTGCTAACTTCACTGATAACTTCACTGATAACTTCACTGAAACGGATCCTCCACGAGCTGAAAAGACTTTAAGGTTTGTCAAAACTTTAAAAAACTTTTCCCTTTTGAATTGTAGAGTATAACTACGTAATAACTTTCCTTTCTGGTCTAAACAAATATAATATATCTAAATGAAGACTTTTATTAAAATTTATTAAGTACTCTATCATTTGTGTGCGCTAAAAACAACAATGTAAAAGAAACAAAACTTTGATTTTGTTTTTTCTCCTTACAGGGAGATTTTGGTCCTAAGGAACAGCAGAGATCAGTTGTTGCTATTATTCCAGGGGCTGCAGAAGAAAAGAAGACCAGGTCCAGTACTGATCGACGTTTAGATGTCGTGTTCAGAATGATACTATTAACTAACGACAAATAACGTAGCTTATTAGCACGTTGTTGCATAAAAGCCTAAAGATAAAATGTACACTTTCAACCGTTGTGATTTATAAAGGAACAATTTTACCGGTTGGACTCTGTGTTTTTTCTTTCTTTCTTGTTAAAACTCTGACATGATAAACAAACGTTGGAGGATGGTTTTTGTGCGAAGGATCTGTTTAGCATAAAGTTCTGATTGTGTCTTAATGTGACTTTTACTGCCTGACTTTATGGAACTCCAGTTGTGTCCAGTAACAGCGGCTCAAGCTCTATCTTGGTAAAATTATATTTCTACATGTCCAATTATTTACTATCATTTGTAATAAAGTGATGCCGACACCATGGATTCAACAGTGAGGAGCTTGTTCTAGTCATCTTAAAGATGGAAAGAGTCAGTCTCCAACCGGCACTCACTGAGAGTGTCTGTAATCAGAACTGTGACGATGATGATGATGATGATAATAATAATGGAGGAACTGGGTTCCTGTCTAAGAAAGAAATTCAAATAATTCTGAGTATCTGAATGATTAACCGAATGACTTTTTATTCATTTCAAAGTTCAGTCGGTGAGGTTATTCATTTTGTGGTGTTCCTACTCTATGAAAGCAACAAAGAAGAAAGGTAGCAATCGTACATGTTGGTTCCACAGGCTTTCCCTGAAAATATGGATAAAATCGGCAATGATAGGATAACAGTAATTTGAAGAGGAAGAAGCATATAAACAAGTCAAGTCAATGACAAGTCAATGACATGATGCAATCTGCAATTTTTTTTTAAAACTCCGATTACTTAACTTTTATGCTTGTTTGTTTGTTTTTTACTGACTTAAATAATACATTTAAATTGCTGCGCTGTTTGATAAGTAGAATGGAAAATTACTTTTGGGTTTTTTTGTAAACTGTCTTTAGATTACCTATCGTAAAATTTGCATTTTAAAATCAACTGAATTAAATTAAGAAAGGTTACAATTTGTACAACTGAAGAGAAATGATGAGCAATGTTTTATGTGTTGAAAGCAGAGATTGGTGTTTTTCTCTGTAACATCAAAATTTACACTTTACAAAATTTACTGTGCATTTTCCCATATACCATTGCCTGGTGTCTGAGCTGGCAAAGGTCATCCCTTGCAATATTAAGAAGCTGTTGTCAAAAATTACGATCTTAATTTTTATTTACGAAGCAAAAGATATGAGTCACACTATCTTGTACAACATAATTTACAGTATACAAAGTCTAAAAAGTCTAAAACAGAAGGATTTTATACCCTTGCTAATTCATCAGTTCGATTTCAGAAAGGAATCAATGACATTTTTTTTATAACAGAAACATAAAATGTACTCATTTTACATCTTTAAGATGACTATAACAAGACTCACTGTGTACACTGAGGGCGATGAGTTCGGTCAAAAGGAAAACGTTCAGGATTCCCAAAGATACGGCCACACCGAGGCAGAGCCTCTCTTTGGAGCTGCTGCTACCTGAACAGAAACCTGAACAGAAACCTGAGCCTTAGCAAAATGTAATTAAATTAAATACATACTATATTTCTCTGTAACTTTGTTCTTACCTGTGGGATGAGATGCACTTTGTTCAACAGGTTCCATATTGACGTAAATTTCCTCCATCGCTTCAAAACTCTGTACTGGGTTTTTTATTTTTTTTAAAACATTGACTATAAGTAGTGGAACAAAGTGTAAAAAACTGTGGGAAAGAGGTGAGATGTCTGGGGTTCAACATAAAAACGTATTTTAGAGATAACAACCAGATAAAGAAATTCATGAGTATGGAATCAGGATTATTTTTCTTAAATATCTTACGCCACATAAAATTCTTGAAGGTTTCAATAATTTCCTAGGTTCATATTTGCTGAGTCAATTCTGTATCGCTGAATATTATTTCTCCTTTTTCTTTGTTTTCCCTTCAGCTCGGTTAATCCTACTCATAATAAACACATTACAATTTTCTTTGGGTGACAAAAATAATTGACTTTTACATTCACGCACAACTTTGCGGTTGACCACATGGTACTGCATGGCACCGCATGGTATCAAAATTTAAAAAATGTTTTAAATCACTGATATAAGAGTAAAAACAATAATAATAATCTGATGTTGAGATATTTCTGCTCTTTGTATCCAAAATGATTTCCTTGAAGGCTAATACATTGTTGGAGCAGATAACCGGTTCCCTCCTCTGTCATATTAAGATCATAATTGTGTCATATGGATCCAACAGTTTTTTTACAGGTCTCAGTCTGTCCTGATAACTAGACATAGTCTTGCTCTCAGTAAATACCACTGTCATCTTTTAACCTTGTTTCTTGTCCAGTAGCAGAAACACTTACATTAAGAAGCCACAGTCCTTGAGTTGCATTCCAAATGACCAAACTTGTATCACCCATGAATCAAATAATTAAGGAATTGAACATATTTGTTCATATTTTTAAAGGTATGTAGTTTTAGGACCGCTATCTACTAAAAAAAAAGCTGCATAATTTGGCTAGTTGGCTGTAAACCTCAGTCACCATGTTTCCTCATCTTCTGAAACAACCACCAGGCAGAGAGCAACAGATTGACAATCAATTTGCTTTGTGAAGCACCGCCTCACTGGGAGGGAATCAAAAGGCTAAAGTGCCAATCAGGTGCAAGTTGGGCGGTTTAAAGTAAGAGAAACCAGATACTGCCTTCAGAGCATGCTGAAGATCAACAAGCAAGCAAAACATTCACAAAATGGATGTAGAATATCGGAGTTCTGGAATAGAATTGGAGTACAGGATAGAAGAGTTGACTGAATAAAGACGTTGCACAGAAATTCAGACTGGGAAGCTAACTGGCAAATTGCTAGCTAAGTATGTAGAGCAGGAAAATAGGTTGGATTTACTTAAATTTATGCAAACCAATTGCCTCAAAAGATTCAATTACTGCAACATATAAAATACAAGTGTAGTTACACTGTGTAATTTTGGCAAAGAATATTCTTAAACTCATCCAGAATATTATTCTCTGCAAAACTTCTTTTATTTTCTACCTACAGCAGCAGCAGCACCAGCAGCAATATATTTGCTACATACAATAAAGATACACGGTCTCATTTTTTATTTATTTTTTGACATAGTTGTCCTGTTCAAAACCTTGTGGTTTGCTTGAGCAGAAATGGTGTGGTGTCTGCTGGGCATGTTAAAACGTTAAACATTTAGCACACAACATCTTCACTACTTTCATATAGTTCACTTTTATTTTTTTTTTTTGTTGTTGCGTGGACTCAATTTAAATAGATTAACTGATAAAGCTTTTTTTTTATTGTTTCTGTGTTTTATCCAAAGATTCCTGCCAATGGTTTATGAGTATAAACAACTAGTTGATGATAATTAAGTGATGTTCACTCGGACAAT